TATAGAATAGAGTCCATGTCTCATATTCTTTGATCCTGCCTCAACATTACCATGGTATTTTTGTATATTTTATTTATTAAATTGTGAAGGATTGCACTATTGTTATACATAAATACTTTTATGAGTRCATTATTATTATATATAATAGGAGGGTTCATTCTGACATACTCAAAATTGCATATAACATGATTTGCTCCATTTCAATCCCCAATACTTCCCCTTACTCTTCATTCCCCCCCCCATACAATCTCCTTTCCTTACTAATCTTCCTTCTATTTTTTGTTAATTGGTGTAATATAGTTGCACATAAAAGTGGAATTCATTGTGATATATTCATGCATACACAGCATAATTTGGTCAATGTCATTTCACAGTTCCTTCCCTTTCCCATCCTTCCCCYTCCCCCTTGAAACCCTTCCTTTACTCTCCTCCCTTTTATTTTCATGAGATCCCCTTTTTTAATTCACTATTTCTCTATAGCTTCTGCACATAAGAGAAAACATCTGACCATGATGTTTTCAAGTTCACCAGGTTCTCAATGAGTAGCTGAAATTCTTGCTGATTTTGCTACCACTATAACCATTTTATTCTARTGGCCACATCTTAAATGGCCTTTTAGTAGTTAAAAATAAATCTAAAAAATGAGGTAGAAAATTATCCCAGGGTCCCAAATTCAAATACAGTTTCTGTGGCTCCCTATTATTTCCCTTTTGAATGGTAGTCTCTGGGTCTAGGCCTAATCAAGATATCATAGCATCAAAATATAATAATGGATACATAATACACGAATTGTGGAGAGGGCAGATCCAGCCTCAAATGCTTCTTTCTATTCCTGGTAAAGTTTAGACAAAAAAGAAGAAATGAGAAAAGACTGAGGCTCAAAGATATCATCTCTATTTTCGAAAGTACAAAAATCCAAGGTAGTGAGATCAATAATAGCAGGACACAAAACTTGTATTTTTTAATGCAGATTTCCTAATATTACAGATGCCAATTCTTGCCTCCAGAAGTAGATGATTTCTATATGGGACATACAGAAATCACAGTAGCTCCCCTTTATTTCATCAAAAATAGCAACAGAAAATATGCTTAATTTTCTGATTTTTTGCCTGGAATGGTAGTACATACCTGTAATTCCAGCAACTCAAGAGGCTGAGGTGGGAGGTTCACAAGTTCAAGGCCAGCCTGGGCAACTTAATGAGACCTTGTCTCAAAAAGTAAAAGGGTGGGGATATAGCTCAGTGGTAGAGCACTCCTGAGTTCAATTCCCAGTAGTGCCCAAAAAAACATTTTTGTATTTTCTTACCCAGTAGATCCATCTTATTCTCCTCTATGAGGCGATTGATAAGACCATTGGCTCTCTCAATTGTGCAGACAGCAATATCCAAGGAAGAGAAATGCCCTGTTGGAGAGGTACTGCCCATGTACCCATCAACTTTTATTCCTACTTCCTGAAACAGGCTCTGAATTGAGTAAAAAGAAACAATACGGGTGGTAAAAGGTCAAAATATATCAATTACAGATAGATTCCATTCCAGAAAATAGACATAAGTATTTAAAGACATTTATCAGATTACTCTCAGTTGCTCCTGGCCAGGACTTTCTGTTTTTATTTTGTTTTGTTTTAAAACCATATACTAGAAATATTAAGTTTAGAAATGACAAAGCTTAGTGCAGGAATTCCTATTAAGACAGAGTCAAATAAAATTAAGTACATCATTTTAATGATAGTATTTAATAACCTAYAAAGTTCTAAGAGGTATTTATAAAAATTGGAGAAAAATTACCTTTGGTGTTTTAATAGTTAAAAATACATTTTAAAAATAAGGTAGAAAATTATCCTAGGGTCCCAAACTCAAATACAGTTTCTGTGGCTCCCTATTATTTTCCTGTTGAATGGTAGTCTCTGGGTCTAGACCTAATCAAGATATCATAGCATCAAAATATAATAATGGATACATACATACACGAATTGTGGAGAGGGCAGATCCAGCCTCAAATGCTTCTTTCTATTCCTGGTAAAGTCTTTTTATTCTACTAAATATAGTCTTATTATTCTACTAAAGACCAATAATGGAAGAAAAGTCTTTAAAAGTTTAATTCCGTGGGACTTTAATATTAATTTTTTTTAGTTTAACTTTTTTTTGAGAGAGAGAGAGAAATTTTTAATATTTATTTTTTTAGTTTTCGGTGGACACAACATCTTTATTTTTATTTTTATGTAGTGCTGAGGATCCAACCCAGCACCCCGCGCATGCCAGGCAAGTGCGCTACTGCTTGAGCCACATCCCCAGCCCCAAGTTTAACTTTTAACTAACATACCTTCTCAATAAAAAGGATCCTTTCATCATTTAGTTATTTKGGGTATAAGTTGAGAAGTTGTTACCATGTAGGACCAGCTTTGTTGGCTATTTGGCCTCTGAAATAACTGTTAAAAAGATTTATAGAACCATAGAACTTTAAAGCTGTTCATTCAATAAATTTCCTCTGAGCATTTATTGAGTTAACCAATAGTGCAAAGGGTTAACATCCTCATTTTAAAAACAAAAACACTGAGGCCCAGCAGAGTGTGTGTCTGGGCTGGGTTTTACAGTAGTAAAACTGGGACTAAAACTCAGATTTTTKGGCCTAACAGTACAAAGATCTTTTCATTCCAATAATACATTTTTTTTTCAATGCAAACCACAACAGTAAGTTTAATCTATTTTATGAAACACTGTATTTGTGAAAATGCCTTAAAAACTGTTAGTATCRTATCAATGTAAACTACTATTCATGTTTTAAGAACAGAGGAACAGGTCACAGACCTGAAGCTTTACCTAAGCTCCAATGTATCTTGTTATTCAGCTCCTAAATGTTCCTRGTGACCCTCAAACAGGATAAGATATGCTTCCTTAAACACTCATTCCTTTCTACACTTCAGTCTAGTCCTACCATTTAGTTTTAACCCTGATTCTTAATTTGCATGGTTATAGGCCAATTGAAGTATTTGGTTTCCTTCCTAAGAAAAGTTTACAAATTTTTACATAATGGCTCTTTCTTTCTTATGCAATAATACTTTTTTTGTAAAGCTTCCCTCCATTAACTTTCAATGCTTTAATGGTCAACATTTAAATCTAGAAGAGTGCAACAAGAGATTTTTCATTTGCTTATATAATTCAATTTCAAATCAATAAGCCAAGGTTGCCAATAATGGGCCTTCACTATTTCAAACTTAGTACAAGAACATTACCTGRAGATAGTACTTCTTCTCTTTAGCCACAGAAACAAAGGGAAGAATAAACAAAGCTTTCTTTCGCATTTCCAAAACCCGCTTCAAAATAAGCAATTCTGCAACAAGAGTCTTCCCCGCACTTGTAGGAGCTAAAACATGATTATTCCACAAAGTTATAACAAAAAACAAGTAACATCTGGTACATCACTTGAATGTTTTAAGCCATATCTAATACTATGGAGCCTAAGATGACCTTATCAGGAAAGTCTCAACTAACACTTGAAATCCTCATACCCTGAAAATCCCTAACTTTAAGCCAGCTTTCTAAATAGTCTCACACTAAAACCAGAGAGTAAAAAAGCTTCATATCAGCAATGAATGATGAATATTAGTAAGTACCTAGTTATACCTAAAGATTCTTCTCTTTAAATACTGAATGGCTAAAAGACCTGCTTGAGGAAGAAGATGAATACTTGTAACCTCTGATAGGAGCCAGAARTTGAGGGAGAGGAGCTGCAAGGAAGCTTAAGGAAAGGAAACAGAACTTATGAGAAGGAAAGAGGAAAGGAATGACAAGCATGAGAAACAGCAAGTGCAAAGGCCTGGAAGAAAACCTGGCATGTTCAGGAGACAATGAGCGATTTAGTAAGCCTGGAATATGAAGTGATCCAGGGGAGCAAAAAAATAAAGAGACATAACAGAGACATGACAGGGAGTTTTATAATTCCAGAGTTTAAAGAGGTTAGACTATCCTAAAAGTAATGCAGAATGACAGATGAGTAAGGGAGTGACAAGATCATATTTGTATTTTATAAAGCTCTCTTTGGGTTGAAAGAGGAGTGGGGCAAGAACAGAGGAAAAGGTCAAGCTCATTAAAAGATTATTCCATTATCTAAAAAAAAAGACAAGGAGCTGAACCAGGCAATGGAGTTAAGAACAGAAAGAAGTAGTCAAAAGTAGTCAGAATCAAGAGATATTTAAGATAAAAGACGCAGGGCTTTTTGATTAATTGTGTGAGCTGGTGAACACATTAATGAATGATACCCAAGTTTTGGTTTAAGCAACTGAAGTGGCTAGGTCATTCTTCCACTAGTCAGCATTTAGGAGTACTTCCTATGTGCCAAAAACTATTTTATRCTCTCACACATGTGAAATAACTTAACGCTTCCTAAATACTACCAAGTATCTTCCCTCACCCCACCTCTAAACAGTTTGCAAGATTATACAGCAAGTGAGTGATAACAGTTTTTAAAGCCACCCCAGTCCAACTCCWCAGCCTGAACTTATATCTTCTAATAAATTAATTATCTTATTCTGTTTTGTAGCCATAATGAAAAATCTGGGAGACTCACAATTTCAGAGAAAACTGACACAAGGAATTGTGTCTTACCAAATGATTAATTTCTAAAATCAGAGTGGTAATAAGCACAGGTTAAAAATTGCAAAAGTCAAAGTTGCCCTTGAAAACCCATGTATATCTTCTACAAAACATATTACATGTACTTTTGTACATATAACTCTATACAAAAAAGTCAATACACAAACATATAATGTATAATGCTCACACTCTGAAAAGCAACTGAGATCAAAGGAGGGAAGCAGATTTACATCTCCCATCTTAAAAATAGTAGAGAAATTAATGTGCATAAATCTGAATACCTGAATAAACTAAATTCTTTCCTTCCAAGACTTGTCCAAGCAAAAGGCACTCTGCCTGCCATTCAAACATTTTTTTTACACCAAAACTGTGATATTTCTCCAGAACTGCTTTAGGAAGTCCCCAGTTTGCCAATAGCAGCTTGTCTACTTGGTCATCCAGGTCTGTTTGCTTGCATACCCCTTTCAGGAAAAACATAAACAATTAATATTTTAATTTAGTTCTAACATATAACCTTAGCAATTAGTCCTCTACTGGTGTTGGAATTCTTATGTGTTGGAATGAAAGCACATCCTGAYTTCAAGAAGCTTATGAGAAATTGACCATGTTCAGAAAGGTAAGAGAAAACTGTTATTTGTATTTACTGGCTATAATATTTTTCTTTTTCTTAAAAGCTCTAWACAAAAAATTGTGTTAGGCACAATGGATAAGGCGTTTGGAATTAGTGGTGCTCCTCACCGTAGATATGTATTCATTACAAAGCTAAGTTGAAGAAGTTTCTATTAAGTTTTAGTGTTATATCCACTGCCCCAAAACAATGAAGAATTGGGTTAATGTTCAACTGGCACCCAACCCAATCTGAGAAAACTCTACAAATCCCTTCCAGCCTTCCCCTGGGCTCCAAACTGCCTGYGCTATATCCGCGACCCGATAAGATGGTATAAGGATCTGTAAGGAGAAATTAGCACTCTARAAGTAAAYCCTCCCTCAGGTGAAGGGGTTTAAACGGCCAACCAGGAGGCTGTTTCTGCAAAGATCTAAAAACCCTGAAGTCACTTGAACTTGAGTACCGCGCGGTCAGTGAAAGCATGCCTATGTCTGAACAGAAAGTGACCACAGCACCAGGCCCGAGTCACAAACGGAGGAGTGAGGAATTCCAGTGGATTGTGCCAACAAGCAAGCTCCACGCAGCGAGGACATCGTCCGGCATGTGATCTGGCGAAACTAGCCACGTATCCCGTGGCCCCCAGGGTGCACAAGAGTACCTGCACCTGCGGCCTTCAGGCTGCGTCCCAAGCCSGGGGGTGGACTCAGCACCGGCCCAGACAGGAGCTGGGGGCTGAAACCGCTGTCGCCGCCGCTTCCCGAGAATGAATCTGAATCTGATCGCCGCCGTTTTCCACTCCGATGAAGAAGATTCATTGCAGAGTCTCCTCGGCTGTTCAGGACAAGGCATCCTCCCAGCGCCCTACCGTAGGGGAGAACTCCGGCCTGATGACAGATATAACTATCATCTTCCCGCCACCGTCTTCAAACTCAGGCCTCCCAACCCATCCCGGAACCATAGAGTTTTCGGTGGAGAGAGTAATCCGAAAACCATAGAGTCAAGGGAGAAGGAGCGGCTTGCGTTGTAATCAGAGACTTCCGGCTTCCAGTCTCCTTCGTGATCAATGTGACAGAATCAGGGTGGAAGTAAAAGTAAAGGAGGATAACACCAGAATCTACATGTATAATGTAGTCAGACTGGCCTAAAAATATCGTTCTCTTTTCCATTTTTAGTTTGAATAAAAACGGCTATGCTAACTTCATAAAATGAATTGCCGTAACAGGTTAGGGAAGTAGCTCTTAACATATCGGTYCTCTTTTGAACATTACACAAAACATTATTCAAGAAAACCTAGGATTTCTAATGGAACRTAATTTGCGCTTTCTTCCTATGTATGACAGGAGGACAGAGACTAAGTCTGTATACAATTTCTATTTTAGCCTTCATACAGTGAGGAATATGGGATCCGGAATTGGGGATTGCTGGACTACAGACCCCTTTGATAGCCGTGTGAACGCTGCAAGGATRGGGCGGTAAATGTACTTGAGGGACCTTTCTGAGCCAAGAGCCTATTAAGGAATCTGTGCTCTGTTCTATAACAAGGTGGAAGCAAATGAGTTCTGAACGCGAAGTGATGCCCTCTAATTACCTAGTTGCATAGTTCACTTCACCAAGCAAACCTAGGAGATCACAGTCCTGCTCTAAAAAGCCTGGGCTCTTCCAGAGTGCTAAAAAACCTCAAAAGGGCTAGTCCAATTAAGAAGAAGAAAAAAGACTCTAATATGTTTGAGAAATAGCACACCAGACCTTCAGCTATCATAGGAAAACCTACCTTGTTTTTTAAAAAAATTGCAATATATGAAAATTCCGCAAGGTGGAAACATTACTCCATGAAAGAAACGCTTTAGTCCTGCCTTCATTTCACCCAACTACTAATGAGCATCATCTACTATTGTAGTAGGGACAGCCAAGGCAAGGCACCAAACATAGCAGGAAACAGTTTTATTTGGCTGCAGCCAGGTTCAGAGGGCACAGCTTTTGCTGTGATCAATCAATCCTCTGAACCCCAAGTTCAGGTAGTTTCAGAGTTTTATAGCCAGCATGTAAGGGGAGGGGTTCAGAAGTTCACAGTCTGCAGAAGTTCACATAAAAGCAGTTTTTTTTCTTTCACTCTTCTGGGCAAGTTAGCCACTCAAGGACAACACCTGAGAAGGGGGGAGCTTCTTCTCCCCTTTCTTTCCTCCCCTTGCCAGCTGTTACCATGGAGCCCAATTGGCAACTTCTCCTATTTTAGAAATGTAGACATCTCTGTGAAGCCCCAGCTCAAGGCCAGAGGCCTTGCTTGCTTATTTCTACAAACTACTATACTGGATACCTGTTTGTGAAAAACTAGTAAGGGGGTGTCCAGCGTCTGGAGTGCTGGTATCTTCCCGGCCAGTGGCCAAGTAAAACAGGGCAACACAAAAATAGGAAGTTTATCTACATTGAACTCTTGCAGAGACTCTTTTGCTGACAGTCCTAAAATCAGCCATGGTGAAGATTTCTGGAGAAGCCCAGTTAAGCCTTTTCTGTGGAGAAAGGCGGTGCCACTTCACTGTATGCTAGGCACTGAGTATGTGGCAATGAACTGGTGTGAAATGCTTTCCGATCTCAGAATGAAAGAGTAAAGAAGGAGACAGACAATGAACAAATAAATTAATAATTTTAAATTGTGATGTGTTCAGGGAGAAATAAAGTGCTATCAAAGAAATAAAAATTTCTTTGATAATGAGTGCTGTTTGAAATGAATGCTATAGAAGAAAAAAAAATTCTTCGATAAAAATATCAAAGGAATCCTAACTTACAATATAGTCGTGGTAGAGATTAGCAGTGCAGCTCAGGAGCCAGACAATCTAGGGTTTAAAGACTTAACTGTGTGATTTGGGACAACTTTCTTAGCCCCTTTATGCCTGCTTTCTGATCTATATGATGGGAGTAATTATAATAACAACCTGTTTGGTTCTTGTGAGGACTGAATGAGTCAATGTATATAAAGTGCTTAGAACAGGGATGGCATATAGTAAGTCCTATTCAGAGAAAATGATATTTAAGTGTTCTAATATAGTTTTCAATACATATAGCTGGGAAGATGGGAGAAGTAGAGGGTTGCCTTTAATTTTCATCCTTTCCTTTGTCTGTGTGGACTTTCACCTCTTAGAAAGTTTGCATGAATAATTGAGTGACTTTTCCATTGAAATTTCAGAGGTTATATGGAAAAATAAAAATTCACATAAACTATATTTATGAATTGACTAAAACAATTATTTATCAACTTTGAATAAATGGCTTATATGAGTGGCACTGATTCACAAAGGGCAAAAAAAGAAAGCTAGAAAATAAATGCAGTGAGAATGGTGCTCAGGATAAAGGAGATGCTCGTTAAGAGGATTTTGTGTTTAAAGTCCATTGTTTCTCTACTGAAAGAGGTCCAGTGGCTAAATATTAGGATCCCCTAAAGAGCTTTTAAAATATTCTACTCCTAACAATTCTGGCTTAATTCGTCTGGGTTAAAGCCCAGGTGCTGGTATGTCTTAAAAACTCCCCAGGTTTTCTAACATGCTTCTGGAATTGAGAACCACTGGTATAGCCCAGGGATGAGGCTGACTTGAATTCAGGTGACCTTAGTGAAAAAGTTTTCATCAGTGGCTTAAATCTATAGGGGACCCTGAAGAAAGACCCATTTCTCCACAATGACTCAAAGAAGTAGAAATAGCTTACAGATGCTCCTTGACTTATGATTGGGAGGGGGTGTTCTGATAAACCCATTTTAAGTTGAAAATAAGTCAAAAACACATCTAATGCACCTAATCTACCCACCATTATAGCTCAAGCGACACACTATAGGACGTTAATTGCTTCTGCCTGGTGACTGCATCACTGACTGGAAGCCAAAGCTCACTAAAGCTGTCCAGCATCACATTGCAAAAGAGTATCTTACCAAAATTGCAGGCCCCAGATAAGTTCAAAATTCAAAAGTTGAAATATGGCCTTTATTGATGMATGTTACTTTCAAGCTGTTGTAAACAAAACAAAAAAAGGCAAATTGGGCCATATGTAACTATTTTGAGAATTTTATCTGTATTCATGGAGAGCCATAACATGAAGAGTGTTAGATTTTTTGTTCCAATTATCAATGTAGAAAACTTTTAGAAAAAGATGAGTAGGAAAGTCTACTGTATTTACTCATATTTTGTCTTTCTATGGTCTGTCTTCTTGCTTGATGTTCCAAGATTTTCTTTTAATGATTCCTTTTTTCTGTTTAGTGAATTTCAGTTAGCCTTTGGTTTTTTAGTTGTTGTTTGATTATTGTTGTTGTTTTAGGTTAGATCTCCTGGCAACAAATTATGACCATGAGCCAAAGAAACTTTTATTTTCCCATCTGATTCAAATGTATGATATGTCAAGATCATTGTACTGTCATGTGTAAACTAATTAAAACAAATTTAAAAAAAGAAACTTCTATTTATTTAAATATTTAAATGATCAGGTCTATAGGGTTTTTTTCTGCTTGCTTTTCTCTTCTTTCTTCCTTTCTTCCTTCCTTCCTTTCTTTCTTCCCAAATTTATTTTGTCACTGGAGATAAAATCCAGGAGTGCTCTACCACTGAATTACATCCTCAGCCCATTTATTTTTGTTCTGAGACAGGGTCTCACCAAGTTTCCCAGTGTGACCTCTAACTTGCGATCCTTCAGCCTTAGTCCCCTGAATAGATGGGATTACAGACATGCACCTCCATGGYTGGCTGAGGTATTTTGTTATAATAATGGACTGACACCCTCTTTCTATATTCTTGGGAGAATTCAAATGTACTAGATTCAAGGAACCAAGCTTGAAAGAGTGATATGAAAAGTCATTTTATTCATCTTTTAATGATTGACATTTCAATCGCAAACTCTGGAGGAATGGAGTGTATATTGATGGTTGTGGGTGAGCCAGAGCAGGAGCAGCCAAGAAAGTGCAGGAAGCCCAGTGAAAAGCTGTTAGGTCTGTAGTCATCCAGGACAGAGAAGCTGGCTTGAATCAGGATGTTTGTTTTTAGTTTAGTTTATGGTACTTGATAAGCTTTGGTTTTGAGGTTCTGTGTTGATACATCAATATTTCTGATCATGCTTTTATAACTTTTGTATTTTTTGTGAAACATAAAAAGGAAGAGATTAAATAAGAGTTCAATGAATCTATTTTGAAAAAAATCTTCTAGAGAAAAACTGAGAAAGATTAAGGGATTTGACAAAATTGAGATATCAAAAGAAAAACTCAAAAAGAAACAGAAGTTCCAAGAAAGAGAGGGAGCAAGTGTGTGACAGAAAAGAAATCGTATAAGCACAATGAGTAAAAGAGGCCATGAAAAAGAGATAAGACTAACCTAAGTCAACAGAGATAGATGTATATTTTGATAAAAATGTTGAGAATAAGAGATTTGAGAGACTGAGACATTATCTAAGATGGGGAGGGTGGGTGCAGAGAGAAAGACTGAGTGAGAGAGACAGAGAGAGAGATAGAGATTGAGGGGTTTGGCGTGGAGCTTGGTGGTAGAGTGCTTGCCTCACATGGGTGATGCCATAGGTTCCACCCTAGCACCAAAAATAAAGAAAAGAGAGACATTGAGAATATAGTGGGTCACTATGAGAGTGATAAATTTAAAATATGAGTTTTGAAAGAGCTTCAGAGAGAGGAAGGGAGATAAAGGACAAATAGAGAAGAGAAGGAAAGAGGATGGAGAAGACAGGTAAAGAGGAATATAACAGGTTGACAGGTGAAACAAGTTGATGGGCACGAAAACCAAGAGACACTAAAAAAGAGAGGGAGAAACTGAGAGGAAATAGAGATTTTAAGAGA